GCTAGCAAAGTCTTTAGCTAGCAGCTAGCTAATAGCACAAGAACAACAACCTAATGTCTGTATGATAAGAACAGTTTTTCCTCACCTGGCTATCTCCTCCCGCTCAGTAGTTCTTCAGAGAAAGGCAGACGCAGAGGCCTGTCAGTGTCTGTTGTATTTCATTACCTCTCTGCTTAAACCGCTACACCGTGCTGAAGCAGAAACGATACTTCAACGTTTTCTGTCATCTGACAAGTAGCAAGTCTACTCCACTTTATTCACCAAAAACGTTTTTTTTTTTTTTATTCACCAAAAATGGTTCTGTAATCTGGAACGTTGAGCTCCGCAGTTAGCCGCCTTATCTCACTGTAGGGGCAATTTTGCGTCGTGCATCACAGGCAAAAGGTCAAAAGTTACAAGGTGACCGGAGGTCTTATTATGTTTTTTCTTGAAAAGTACAAAATAATAATAATAATAATAATACCCCCGCCTCTCGCCCGGAACGTTAGCTGGAGATAGGCACCAGCACCCCTCCCGACCCCACTGAGGGACAAGGGTGTTCAGAAAATGGATGGATGGATGGATGGATAATAATAATAATAATAATAATAATAATAATAATAATAATAATAATTTCAGTACAGGTTATTATGTATCAGAAGACGGCTTAGGAAATAATAATACCAAAAAAATACAAAAAACATTTTGGACCAAAAGGACACTTGGGGACAAGGAGCAAAAGGGGCAGGTGCTCAAGCTCCCCTAGCTTCCCTCCCTGCACGTGCCTGCTGCGCCACATAGTGATGATGCGCTGGAACCATTAGGTTGACCTGCTGCCTGCTCTAAACTGTCATTGCTGGAGGATATTTGACATCTATTTTATTGTTATTATATTTTTAGTGTTCCAAATATTTGACTAGTCGTGATTTTTTTCATATCTACCTATCCTCGACATAATTGTATTGTGCATATTTTGCACTTATAAGTAGCTGAGCACAGGGATGCACGCTGTAGCACTGTCTGTACCTTGAGATTTTCCTTTAAGTAAAACAGAAAAGTATAATTTTTAAATGTATTTTATTAACTAACCCTTTGTACTATTAATAACATGTAGGAGAAAAAAATGATCTATTGTGTCAAAGCATCTTGTATGTAGCGAGTCTGTGAGTCCATGGAGGTGCGCACAAAGCCTAAATGTTGGTCAGGCGGCTTGGCGCTTTTTCTATAAGCTAAAAATGAATGAGCGGAGTTTGAATCCTCCCGTAGTTCTAAGAGCGGTCGTTTGGATCATGCCAGAGCTTTTTACCATGTGCGCGGTTCTGGCGGGTCATCGGTTTATGAGCTGTGTGTGTGTGCGTGTATGTATGTGCGCGCGTGCGTGCATGTGTATGCATGCGTGTGCGTGAGTGCGTGCATGTGTGTGTGTGTGTGTGGTTTGGCGAACTGAAGAGCTAACGGTTGGACAACTGTTTAACCCGCTACTGGTGCGTTCACACCAATGATGTAATGATGACAAAATCTTCATTCAAACACGGTGTTTTAATACTGCCGATCTGTATTCAGCTGTTTTTAGGTCGGCTGCAGGCATTTATCCATCTTTTACATTTTTCCAGACTCCAGTTTTGAAAACAAAATAAAATCCATTCCGCCATCTAAATGCTGTGTGTAAAGCTGTCTTCTGCATGTTCCCCACTGACAACTTAAAAAAAAAAAATTCTGATTATTTTCCACCAAATCTCTATGACCGCAGCGCATTCAATAGCAAACAACCATCAAATATAGCCAGACTGCAGCGCGTGGTAGACCCAAAAACCTTGTCCTCCAGTTGAGGGGTGGTGAACTGCACTGAATTGATTGACAGGTGCCATCATATCAATTGAACAAGTGTACGGGCCTGACATTCAAAGTGCGTAACTGAAGTGACGAAACACCCCATGGCCTCCCCACCTCAAAATTTAAAGAGGTCTTTAGCCCAAGCCTCAAACAAATATGCATGAAAGAAATGAATCAGCAAAGTAACATGCAGAACAAACCCAAATTAATTCAAAAATAAATAAGTCCAAATTTATTTAACTTTGCAATAAAACAGCAAAATTAAATAAATTCAAAGTAACACACAGAAAATGGATGAAATGTGATCTATGATGTCTATAAAAATATCTGACTGAAAGTAATTTACTTTGACAGACTGTACCAGTTATTAACTGTAACTGGTACCAATCCAGAGCATCTGTTAACTGATTGATCAGAACCTTCTCTAAGATCTCTGCAGTAAATGGAAGCTTGGAGATGGGTCTGTGACTGCCAATGAGAGAAAAAAATGTGTTTTTCAAAAAGGGATGGGTGACAGCAGTTAGAAATTAGTGTTTGAAAATTGGTTACAAATCCTTTTAAAATAAACCCCAGAGTAACAAACTTTCTCATTCATTTCTTTCTTTCTTCTTTTGTGTTCCCTTTTAGTTTGAACAGAAGGCAAAGGAAATGACAACTATTAGTGCTGCAGAAAACATACAGGACAACTGTACACTCAGTTCCAATAAAATCGACAACTCTCATCAGAGTATGGGTACCACACACGTGTCTGCGGTGGACCAATATGGAACATTTGTTGCCGTCACCAGCAGCATCAATAGCATGCAAGTATCTGATTTGTTTTGCTTCAACAAGGGCATCTATAGACAGTTTTCAAAGGAATGACCAACTGAGAGTCACTAATAATCTTGGGGTGGGGAGTAAAGAATTAGAGAAACACCTTCTGATCTAGAACTACAGATTATTTTACTCATTGATTGAGCACAGTGGTGCTAAGAAAATAAACAGAAATGAAAATAAACAGTAATGATTCTAGCTAACCGCATTCTTAAAATGATTCAAGATTCATTGTTGTGAAAAAATAATTCGAACAGCATAAAAACAGCATGAATAACAATGGCTCCATGGCGCGCTATATATATATATATATATATATATATATATATATATATATATATATATATATATATATATATATA